TCCAGGGCGGTACCCCTCAAGCCGAACGGTGTGGAGGTGTGCATCGTGTCGGATGCCTCCCCTATGGGTTTGGGGGCAGTGCTGGCTGTGAAAACCGAGGGGGACCTGTCGCCCCTAGAGGCCATGGAGCTGCCGGTCACGCAAGAGATGGCCGAGGCGCTGCGCTTTGAGTTCGGCACATCAAGGAGCCAAGGAATCGTGGAGGCCCTTGCGGTGGTCATGGCTGTGAAAACTTGGGAGTCGACATTGGCGACGTTGCCGGTGACTTTGAGCGTCAGGTCGGACAGCATGGTGGCCTTGGCGGTGGCCGACAAGTTGGCTAGCAGCGCCCCTGCCCTCAATTTCTTGGGTGCGGAGTTGGCGCTGATCCTGGAAAGGTTGAAGGTCATGGATGTGTCTACCATGCACATCCCCGGCGTCTTGAATTTGATGGCTGATTGGCTCTCTCGCCCACACATGAGAGCCGAGAAGCCCGAGACGCTGGAGAAGGTAAAGATGAGGGCAGCGAAGGAGTTTAAGTTTGAACTCCCCACGCCTGGGGAACACCCTGGGTTGTGGGGAGGGCAGCCGTGCGAGGCATGGCTGGACCTCCATTGACGGGCTGGACCAAAGGAAAAAGAGGTGGGGTCCGAGGATCGGATCCGGTCCAGCTCGGCTGGGCTCGATGGAGGGAAGGGGGGCCTCGACCTGAAGGTAAGGGGGTCCGTTGTTTGGATCCGGTTGGGGCCCCGAAGGAAGGACAAACAAGGCGAGGGCCTTGTTTGTGAAGGGAGCGCGAAAGGTCGTGCTCGGAAGGAGGGTTTTGAAGGTAAATAAACGGAGCAAGGTCCCCTCTGTGGTTTAAACGAGTGGGCCTGAACCTTTTGGAGGCGTGGTCCTTAAATGGATCCGGTTCGGGCCCGAAGGAAAGGCACAATTCTAGGCCAGCCCCGGATGTCAGGTGCCGAACCGCATGCAGGACCCGGGCTCGAATGCTAGGGAGGATGGAGGTATCTAGGACATGGGTCGACGCCGACCAAATGCCGCTGGAGGAGATGACATGGCTGGGAACCGCCATATGGTACCTGGCATGGTTGTCGGTGGTGCACGTGGGCATGGACGTGGTTCTGTGTTGTTGGGGGTGGCGCAGATGTCGCCAACGGGGACGCGAACCTCCGCTTTCGTGCGAACCCGAGGAACCACTCACCCAACGACGTCACAGGACGGGGTCATCTTCCCCGCGGACACCTCCATCCAGAGCAGTGGAACGGGGACAGGACGGTTTTCCGGAATTTCAAATCCGTCACCGTCCGCTTCAAGGTCACGATCGCTCCCTGCTGCTGTCCCCCAAGGTCATGTCGCGGCGAGCCAAGTGAGGAAAGCGGGCGACAAGGTCACTTCAAGGCAGATGTGGCGATGGAAATATTCGCCGGGGTGCGATTTGGTGGCTTCGGATGTGATCAAAAAGCTGTGCGGCAACTCGACTAGCTCTACGGCACGAGGGAGATCAGGGCTCAGGTCGACTTCTTCTCGGTCACGTTCGAGTCGGTCGGTAAAGAGACGGTGGCGCTCCTCTTCGTCAAGGTCGTCGGAAGGCTTTCTTAAACCCAGGTCCCCCAAAACCTTAGGTGATGGTCGGCAAGGGGAATGCAGGAGGTTGGGGGGTGGGCCTGGATTTCAACCTCGCAGGGATCTCCCCGTCTTGAAGAATAAGAAGAGGGGGTCGTTCAAGGACGCTATGGAGGTGATGGACGACGCGAAGAACTTGGAATTGGCTGTGGCGGACCTTCGCAAGGGTTTCTCGTCAAACTCCTCGAGAGCGGCAAAAGCCTCTAGGAGGAAGGAGGTCCTCGCCATGGCAAAGAAGTTCTGTGGCAGCAGACCCATTTTCCCCCTCCAAGAAAACACTGTGGTGAGCGTGGCAGCAGCTTTGTCGACCTCGGGCTTCAGGTCGGTCATGATGTACGTTGCGGAGCTCAAGCAGTTGCATGTGGAAAAGAAGTTCCCCGTGGAGGATTGGTTTGTGAAGCTGCTCACGGACATCAAAAGGTCGGCAACCAGAGGTCTAGGGCCCCCGAATAGAGCCCCGCTCATCGACGTGAAGGCGGTGAAGAGCCACTTCGGGTTCGTGGACGACAGGGAGGTGGCGTTGAAGAATCCAGCGGAGGTGCTCATGGTGGCCATGAAGTGGTTGCTGAGGGAAGTGGAGGTAGCTGCTTTGACACTGGGGAACGCAGTAGTGGACTTGGAAGCTGGCACCGCAACTTTGTTCTTGCCCGTGTCCAAGACTGACGCAGGTGGCTCGGGTGTGGCAAGGACTCTCAAGTGCTCTTGTGGTCGTGGTGTGAAAGAAGAATGCCCGGTTCACACACTCGAGACCCGGGTGCGCACTGGCGAGGTTCTCTTCAAGGTTGACCGCCGGAGCAAAGAAGCTTGGGACATCCCGTTGTGCTGCAATCAGGACCTGGTCACGCCGTCCAAGAACCAGGTCGTTGAGGCATGGTCATTCGTGGCAGGTTGCAGAGTGACAGGTCATTCGGCAAGGCGGTCGGGGGCGGTGGAATACGTAAGAAAAGGTCTCCCCTTGCAGGCCTTGTCATTCCTGGGCAGATGGAAGTCGGGCGTGGTGTTGAACTACGCGGAAGAGGCGTTGCAGGAGGTGCCCATCGAAACTCACTTGCCCATTCAGCCGGAAGAAGTAGTGGCCAACTACGAGAAGGAGGAAGTCAAAGAGGTGGTCACCGTGAAGGATCCACAAGAGTTGAAGCCCAAGTGGATCAAGAGAAGAGTAGCGGGCGCTGTGGTGCACAAGGTGGGTACCATCTCCGTGAGGATCCCATCGACTGCATGGCAAACTGTGTGCGGTTGGCGGTTTAATCAGGTTGAGTTTTCGATCGTAGAGGACCCCACCAAGGAGTTCAGGATGTGCGCGAAGTGCGTGAAGATCCTGAAGAATTGGACGGAGTAGGTCGCGGAGTGCCAGATGGGGAAGGTTTGGCGACCGCTTTGCAGGGGGCTAAGGAGCTGAGCCTGGAAGTGAATGTCAAGACAAGGCCTCCATGTGGGGTTTTCCACATGGAGGATGCACGCCAAAAGAAAACAGAGCGCTCGCAGCTTGGAGGGTGGGTGGGTCAGAAACGACTCACCTGGAAGCTTGTCGTGAAAGCCACACAGTGGCTGTGGGACAAGATGACAGGTTGAAGTATGGGTGTGAGGGGGGGAAATGTCACCTGGTCACCGGCCATTTTGGCTCAAGGTGCCAGGCCCCCTCACATCCCAGTTTGATGTTTTCCCACCCACCCACCCAGCGGTACAGTTGCTGAGTACAGGAAGGGGAAGGTTTGGCGACCACTTTGCAGGGGGCTAAGGAGCTGAGCCTGGAAGTGAATGTCAAGACAGGGCCTCCATGTGGGGGTTTTCCACATGGAGGATGCACGCCAAAAGAAAACAGAGCGCTCGCAGCTTGGAGGGTGGGTGGGTCAGAAACGACTGACCTGGAAGCTTGTCGGTTTGGGGCCACTGGCAAAATGTGCCTCCTAGATCCGAGGCCTTTACCCTTTGAGCTGGGAAGAGCTAGGTTAGGTGAACCACCCGTGTTAATGTAAAGGGCTAAGGGCTAAGGCTGAAATGTGAGAATTTCAGCAACGCCCAAAATAGTTGGACACTAAAGAGGACCCCAACACAGTCACACTAAAGAGGCTTAGGGCCTCTTGTGGGAAACCCCTGCGCGAATGTTTGCCCTTTTCGTAAGCAAGTTTTCTTAGGGTTGACGCTTTGGGGACCACTCCAAAACATAATTCCGGATTTGTTGGCCCGGATTTGCTTGCCCGTGGTTTGCCCCTGTTGGCCGGTCCTTGTTTTCCGGGATTTGCTCTTCGGGATTTTTTCCGGCAACAAATGCCGTACTTGAGGATCCCAAAAAAGTCACAAGATCCTGAGTTGCGAAAGTACATTGCCACACTAGAGGGTACCTTTCCCAATTGGGGGTGTGACATTGCCAGCTAGGTTGTCGGAAGTCTCCAATGGAGGTCGAAGTCAAGACACAATGGTTTGGGCCATGGAAGTCGTTTTGTTTGTTTTTGCGCAAAACAGGACAATTGCTTCAATTTGCGGCTCATGATCAGTCCAGTATTTAAAGGGAATCTGGATATCACCTTTCAGGGAGTCTGGAAGCTGGAAGCTGGAAGAGGAAAGCATGGGTCCTGACTCTTTTTTCTTCTCTTCCGGTACAGGTCCCCAGCAAATGCAAGTGTTTCTTGTGAGAGCCGCTTTGGAATTGCTTTGGGGAACTGAAGAAAAACCGCATACTTTAGCCAGCACCGGCTGGAAGACGTGGTAAGCCCGTACATTTATATGGAGACAAAACCTACCCGCCCCCCACCCCCCCCCCGACCCGGCCCCCAACCTTCATGCGAGGTTGAGGACCATTGTACTTTTTCAAAAAAAAAACGATGGAGTCCACAACCCAAGCACAGATAGGTTCCAAAAACGAGATCCCCTCAGCCGGCTCCAACAAAATGAGACCCCTCTCTGAGTCCCGTCAGCGCTGACTTGTTGCGTGTGTCTTCTTCGCTTGGTTCGCTGGTTTTCTCACTTCGCGCTCGACGCGCTCGAGGCTCGCGCCAAGCAACCAGGCATTCATAGCTTTGCAATTTGCCGACTGACCAAGCAACATGTTCACCTCGATGGCTCTCCTTGGAAGTCAGCTGATTCTTGCGAAACCGACCATTTCTGGTAGGGCCCAGGGGCGTGCGCCCAAGCATTGCCTAGGTCCCAACTATTTCTTGGTAGTCATTTACATCGTTTCCTTGGGCGCACGCCCGCAGGCACCCCTTAGGCGCACGCCCGTAGGCCCAAAAGACAGAAAACAACTCCTCCACATGGGTGTCCTTTTTGGTTGTTTTGGTCGAAAAATAGATGGCTATTCCTGGTTTACCTGGTGGTTTAATCATCTACCAGGGAAACCCATCAAGTTCCCCTAAAAGGACACCTATGCTCCGGCATGTGTGGAGAGCTGCGAGGCGTGGGGCCCAACACTTCCTGTGGGCCACTTGCTTCGCCGTGGGCTTCGGAGTGCTGCCTCTCCTCAGCCAGGCGTGGCGCTCCGGATGGATCTCTCTCTACTGCGCGAGCTTCTTCCATTTGCTTAAAGAATATTTGTTGTTGATTTTCCCCTGTTGGTTTTAGAGGGAATCTATCACTACTGGGAATATGTTCTCATTTTTTCCAGGGGTCGTAACCAAATAGAAGGTTTGATCCGTTTGAATGGGAGCTTGGCACAGTGCAAGGTGGCCAGTGGTAGAACACACCATGAAGCGTTTCACGAAAGGAATCTGAGGATCTGAATTAAGTTGTTGGCGAAAGCTGAGTTGCTTTTGGATGATCCTGAAACTGGCCGACCATCCCTGGTGCCTGCTGCTGTTTTTGTTTACACACCTCAAATGTGCAGTTTGCTCGGGCCATAACCCCCCAACCATGGTTGTAGGTTTTTTGAGTGGGTTATAGCTGGGGTTGCTAGCAACGTAGCCAACTTCGCCCTGGAAGGGGCACATGCCAGAAGTATACAGGTAAAACAGCAGATCCCTCGTCTTCTGCGAAGCCAGCAAGAGATGGTTGGTTATCCTCACATGTTACAAATATGCCACAGACAGTAATTTCCAGGGCTTTCTGGTCCCCGAAATGCCAGATTTTGGCGGTTGATTATGTCAACTACGGACGAACTACATGGTGTTTTTTGGGTTCCATGTCAAAAAATGGCCCTCCCTTTCACACTATGATCTTTTCTCCTGGGGGAAGCTGGGCCTGTCCTGTTGTTCCTCAACAGCTGGAAGCTATGGGGTCTCTGCCAGGACAAGCTCTGGGGTTGTTTGGGGCAGCTCCGGAACCTGTTGAGAGGACGGGCATAGTGTTTTTTTTGTTTTTTACATTTCTGGTGTGGTCATAGTCAGCCCCAGGGCTGTTTTAGGTTGATCCAGGACCGAGAGATGTGGAGCCTTTGACCAGGGCTTATCCTGGAGTGTCTCAAAACTGGGCTGTTCAAAGGTGATCCCTACTCCTTACCCTGGGATACGCAAGGAACCGGTCCCTTAGTGGCATGGAAAATCGGTTGGCCAACCCAAACCAAGTTGAACAGCCCAGCAAACTCCATAACCCCAAGGGTCATGACCCCTCTGGAGACCCCCCACATCGACCCTGGGCCACAACTAGGTCCCCCAGTAGTGTTTTTTTGGCGAGGGTTCCCCTACTAAAATAGACTACAGAAAAAATCGGGCACCCTTATTCTAACCTCTCAAGTCCGGAAAACCTGGACAAACTCCAGAGGGCCTCTCTCCCACCACTGGCTCACTGGCTCACCACTGGCTCGCGAGGTGCTCTGGTCGCAGCCGAGGGCCTTGAAGACCTTCGAGCGCCCAGAGGCCGGATGAGAGAAAACGGCTTGGGGGGTTAGGGGTTGGGGTTGGGGGTTGGGGGTTGGGGATGCTTCAAGGTGGCGCGTTTCCAGCCTTTGGGTTGAGTGCCCAAAACCAAAACCGGCGAGCCACACGAAGCCGCTAGCTGAGTTGGACCAAATGGATGTAATGTGTACAGTAAATGGATGAAAATGAGGACCCCCCCGCGGAAGTCCCGCATTTTAGTCAGATGATGGGCGGTCAGTTGACGGAATCTGTGAAGTTAGACTACAAGACTTGGTGAGAGGGGGAGAAAGAGATCGGGGTTCGCTCATTGCGATTAGCTCCAGGATTTCTCACTTGCCCAAAGCGAATCGACGTTAGACCTCAGCCATAAGCATCATGAACCATCAACTAGCAACTGGTTTCCATTGGAATCTATTGTTCATGATGTCAAACACCAACCATCTTTAGCCGGCATTCACCATCGTTAGCCATCATGAGCCATCACCAACAATTAGTAGTCATCAGTAACAAGTAGGAACAACCAGCAACCATGTTTTTATTCATCGTTCGCCGTCATTCATGATTCGCCATGTTTGGCACTTAGTGGCGATTCATTGCCAACCATGATTGACCATCACAAACCATCTATAGCAATTTGAACCAGAATTAACCAGTATTGAACACCACGAATCATCATTAGTCACCATGATTAGCCGGCAGGGTAATGGAAATACCATAGAATATTATACAAATATAGGTCTGTCTTTTTTGAATTGAACGTCAGGTCCTGTTTTTGTTTTGGTTGTAAAAGGAAGCCAAAAGGGACACCATCATTTTCGGGAGTCCCCTAAAAGAAGGCACACCCATTTATCAATGATTTGCCATTGTCCATCATTTGGGGGGGTCCCCTAAAAGAAGGCACACCCATTTATCAATGATTTGCAATTGTCATCCCCATAAGGATTATTGAGGGTTCCTGCTGTCTTTATCGCTGGGGTGTCCTTTGGTTAATTGTATTTTTGCCCTTTCCCCCGCTTCCCCCAATTTTTGAGACATACCCAGAAGTATAGTGGTACATTTGGCATACCCCAGTGTCATACCATGAGTATTCCACGATTTTCGCCATCGTGCAGCATACTTATACACCATGTTTATCAGTACGGTTGGCGTTTCTCCTAGAGGTATTTGTGTTGCTTCGGCCGGAACGAGCATTCGTGTTTAAAGCCCCCCACCCCTCCGAGGGACCTTTCTGCTGCTGTTACTGGGGGTTGGGTTCGGGTGGTTCAGCCAACGTCAGAACCTTCCTTAGGCCGTTTACAGCCCCCCAACGAGGGACCGTTTTGGCTACTGTACTTAGGGATTGCGGTAAGTGGGCCCCTACGGGTCCTATACTTGTTGGTCATTGTTCTACTGGTGTTGGCTAGTTGCTTTTATTCAAATTTGGATCACCCAATGAAGTCCCACTCATATTCCACGATTATCCCCAATGACATTGACGACGCCAGACCATTATGCAATCGTCATTTGTTGGTTGCATACACCCACTATCATCCCATAGTCATTGAGGGTATGTCGGACGCTACCCTCATCATCTCTTAAACCCCTGATGTCCATTAACATATTGTATAGTTAATCATCATAATCATCAGCCATGATTGATCGTTATCATAGTATTGTCCCATTGTTGGCGGTGGCCCAAGAATGTTGGATCGTTGTTCTATTCTGGAATTGGGTATGTCCCATCATGATCCCAATGTCACTCCATGTATTGTTCGCAATGTTCTTACCAGCGCCACTTCGTGCACAATCCCACCAGACAACCTTAATTGATCATTGTCATCATCGTATTGTTGTCATCGATGTGGCATAATATGTATATATATATACATAATCATCCCCGGTGTCATTCCTATGGGATCAGCACAATCCGTACTGATTGTCATAGACCCATGGTCATTATCATCATGATCATTGTTAGTATGCTTTGTTTATCATTATTTGTTGAATTGAATTGCTATAGTGTGATTCTGGTAGTATATATATATATGCCTTTATGCTGAACATCCATTTTCCCATGTATCAATCATGTTGATATCTCGTGAATCAGGGTTGTCCCCACAGTTATTCATAAGTAGTTTTTGTATGTTCATCGGAAGCTTCCCGTTGAATGATAGTCATAACACATTCATGAATATTTCTTCGCATGCCACTTGGATACCCACCACCCACTGTGATATCTTCTCCAGGATGCTGACGGAGTGTTTGGTGAACGCATGGCAACCTAAAGCCCTCCTGGCCCTGGCCTGGTAAGCTGATTTGTATTTTCAAATCATGATGTTGGCCATACAACCGAGAACGTGTGATAGACCAGCCAATCGCCAAACAAGAAATCTGGGAAATTGCACATGGTTTATGACATCGCTGTTCCACACATTACCAACCAACCAGTATTGGTAATACAACCATGGCTACCGTTCAATACGTCAATTTCTATCATTATGATTGGTCTTGGTATCAATTCGGTATGTATTGCCCCATGCCTACAGAAAGAGATGTTCTGAGCGGTGGGTATCCTCTTCCCTCTCCCTCTCCATAAGTATTGTCAACCTTCTTCCGTGGTTTGGTTTGGTGGGTCCAGGTGCTCTGGGGGTAGTTTCTCCAATTGGCTTGAAAAGGAGATGGGATTCAAATCTCCAAACCATTGAGACGAACTACACTCCCTCAGACTAACATGGAAGCTCCCAAAAAGGCCTCTGCAAATGCAACCAAGTCCTGGGAGCTTCCATGTAGATAGTAATACTGATGGTTCTATTCCCAGCAGCAGTAGCAATACTTATGACGACGGCTGAACATTGCGATCTGAAGACAGCCTCGCAAAATGGGTGTTGTTGTTTTAGCTTTCCTTCAAACAGACAAATCGGTACCCCAAAATGGTTGACTTGCCTAAATGTTTAGTGACCCCGGTTGTAGAGGACCATCCTAAGTGGCACCAACAAGTTAGCTGACTCGTAGACCTGAGTACTTTGCATGCTTTATGTGGTGAGCTGGCACACAGAAGAAATGTGGTGTTATGTTGGCTCTCCTTGGTCGGTCTATTCGGGTGCGCCAGGCCCGTTTTCTGGGCGGCCTGCTGGCCCTTGTGATCCTGACCTACCAGAGGCCACGTGAAAGCGCAGACCTAGGGTCTCCATGACCCTTCACAAATTGCGTCATGGCCCCTTTCTTTAGGTAATGACCCCACTTTTGAAGGGTCAGAAGGAGACTCCAGGTAGGGTTTGATTCATCCGAATCTGACTGGGCCTTTATGTTGCATGACCTGCCCTCTGGAAAGCATGGCGCGAGGGGCCCTCCCCCTCCTTTGAGCACCCAGCTGTGCTGAGTTTCTATGAGCTTCGGGTGAGAGAGTCGCAAGGATACCAGCTGAAACCATGACCCACCCAGGTCCCAACCGCTGCTTTTTGGTTTGCGCGCCAGGGGATTTTGGACCAACAAAGCAAGCCCAACACGTGCCAACCAAAGGCAAATCAGCCCCTTCCCCAACGCCTAGCTGGAAAAGGATACATCCCACCCCGTCTACACAAAGATCATCCAGCTCTGCTGGCGTTTGCCAGCAAACCCCAACAACTGCTTGTTGCCTGGTGCTTTTCCTGTGACTCGACTGTGCGAAGCTGTGCCCTGTGCAGTTACACCCGCTACGGTGACACGATTGTAGTCACCTGGATGCAAGCCGGAGGTTGGGCGGTTCATTTGCAAAGGGGTTCCTTCGGATACGGTGGTTGGAGCACATGAGCGTCCTTGCATGGAAAACCGGGTTTCGGAAGGCTGAGCCACTGCTGTGTTCGTGTGGAAAAGGTCCAGGTGTGTTTGCTGAACATTTCCCACTAGTACTGGGCCGGCGCTCGACGCTTTAGCGGACGGACGCTTCTTGCCAGAGGAAGGGCAACCGCAAGTGAAGAAACTCATGAAGCAAGCCCGGAAGTTCATGCAAGTTTGCTTGCTCATTTTAAGTTGATCATGTATCATGTAGCCTGGAACCTTGTGTTTATGTGTTGGTCCTTTGTTTGTTTGCTTGCCTGCTTGCCTGCTTGCTGGCCTGCTTGGTCGGTTGGTTCGTTGTTTGGTTGCTTGCATTGTTTGGTTGGTTGGTTGCTTGGTTGATTGGTGTTGCTTTCTTTGCTTGACTCCCTTGATCGGGCTCACGATCGATCTGGTCACCTTTTGGTTTCCCTTGCCAAAGGGTTCTTTTGGTTTCCGACTTTTTAGAGCACCCCCTATTTGAGCCACTTCCTCAAGCTCTGGAGCCGGAAATATCCAAATTGGCCTAAGAGGGTGCAGCTTCCAGGAGGTCTGCAAGGACATGGGGCTGGGTGGTTTTGGGGTGAGGGATCATTTGCCACGGGATTCCTCCCACACCGTCTCAGTCCCCGAGTCACCCCGAATAAGGCGGATGTCGCCCTGCAGTTCTGCCTCTCGCTGTTGACGCTGCTGCTTGGCTATTTGGGTGGCTTGTCTTTGTTTCTTCTCGGAGTTTGCGGCACCCTTCTTGTGGTTTAAAAGGAGGGACGCCAAATGTGTCTTGTGCCGCATGTGTGTGTGTGTGGTTTAAATAAAGGGAAACAACTGAAACCATTGTGGGGTCGCACAAACAAAGAGACGAGCCACCCCTTTGGATGAAACCTTTCAGACTTTTTCGGACACGTTTGTTGCCCCACAAGACAAGTCAATCTTATGGCCAACAAGCTGGTGTTGGCTAAAGGAGCCTTTCTCTTCAAGTCTTGAAAGGCCAACAGCCGGTAAGGCGTGTTTCCCAGCTCCCGATCGTGGGCAACCAGCTAGCTTTCTTCGATATTTTTCAGGGTGGCCCCCATGGCTGCACCAGCTACGCAGGGAAATGGCCATGGGTCAAAAGCCCGTACCCCCTGCACACATCCCAACCCCCACTAAAATAGGTTCTAAAATGGGTGGTGAATTCACCTACCAACCAAAATGGGATCCCATGGTCTTGACAACCACGGCCAAATGGGTGTGATGTTTTGACATAGGGAAGCCAGCGATTCGTCAGGCTGGAGTGCCTCGCCTTCGTGGCCTGCCTGGGCCTGGCTTTGGGAAAGAACCAATTCCTGCAGCAGCGCCTTGCATTCGAAGCGAGCGAATGGCCTGAAACTCCCCGGAGCGTGTGGAGCGTGTGGATTTTTGCTTGTTGACTCTCCTGAAGTTCATGGACTTCATACTTTTGGGAAGACCATTGTGGTAAACAACCAGTTTGGCTACTTTCTGTGGCTAGGTGACTAGAATGGTGAAGCCTGGTTACCCACCAACCCCATGGTGCGAGTCAACTATTGGCAGCGGCCCTTTGCGTGAGTCAACTGCTGGGATTCCCCCATTTTTTTGGCGGAGAGGTTTGAAACCAACGGGAAACGACTCCATGATTTTCAGGGTAAACGGTTTTTGTGGCTTGGTGTTAAAGGGAAGCCAATGGGAACACCAAACTGGGCTGTTCAAAGGCAATCCTTAATCCTTACCTTTAATTACGAAAAGTGTCCCCTGTGTAGTGGCTTTTGAATGGGGACTATGTGTTGTAAACATCACCATGTTGGCCCGAAGTTTCCCGGTGACGGGAATTCTCAAAGGGTGAGCGCCCTCATAGTTGAGACCTTGCGGTCTCCAAAAATCAGAAGCAAGAAAGGTGTCCCCTAAACCCTGCACGGAAAACCCGGCCAAGTCATGGGTCTGAGTGCGAAAGTCATCACGCTACTCACATGTGCTTCTCCCAATCTGGCAGTTGCGTGCGGAAAGCAGCAAGAAGCTAAGGGGCCAAGCGCATACACGTTGGCCTTGTTGAGAAAAACAAAACGACACAATAACCACGACTAATTTGGAGGATCTCTTTGTGAATCCGGTGATTCTTGGATGTATCGTTTGGGGCACTCTGAGAAATCATGCCCCGGATTTCTTTTGAGGATTACTTTTGGCTGGGTACTTTCTATGTATAGTTCTGTGCTCCCAGATTTTGGAGTGTCCCAAAAAGCCAATGCCCTTTTTCCAATGGCCACTATTGGTTTGGGTAACCAAAAGGCAGCCTGGTCCCGTCCCGCCTGCAAGAAGCAGGAGACAAGAACGACGAGCCCCGCGGGGTCTGGGACGTTCTGCAGCCATTTTGGACGGAGCTCAGCGCACGCCACTCGGCCGCGCGTTCCAAGACGCGCCATGTCTCATCGGAAGTTCGAGCGTCCCCGGCACGGCTCTTTGGGCTTTCTGCCGCGGAAGCGCACACGACACCACCATGGCAAGATCAAGAGCTTCCCGAAGGACAGGTTTTTGGAAGGGGTAGTTTGTCATTGCTTACGAATATGTTGTATTTTCCCCTGTTGGGTTTAAAGGGAACCTATCACTACTGAAAATATGTTTTTTCCCCCCAGGGGTCTTACAACCAAATGGAAGTACTACGCTCTTCAAGTCAGGACAGCTCACAGCTGACATAGTATTGTTAATTCTGATTTGGGTCTTTTAACTTCAGCTAGAAGTTGAGTTTCATTCGATAAAGATAAAGGTATCAAGCAGAATTCATTAGGAAAGAATCAAAGGTCCCTAGAAACAAGTTGTTTTACTAGTCCCAGCGCTAACATGGTCAGAGAACACCGCAAAAACACTTTTGTAGCGTTGTTCATACTCAATTCACATCTCCACCAACGACCGCTCTCTAAAATTCAATTTGGTTTCGACTGAGATTTAAATGGGACTCAATAAGGAACTACTTGAGCAGAATCCTGCTAGAGTACTTGTCTTGAAATTAGAGTTTACATAGAAGTTCTTTCCGAATCGAAGTAGAGTTTTAAATCATGTGTTTCTATTGGTTGTTAGAATTTAGATTAGAGTGCATTCTATTTGATTTTTCAGTTACACAGAATTCTCTTACCAACATACCATCTTTACAAATAAGTTGAAATTTAAATACAAACAATTCTAACGGTTCAACTCGAAAGTCCCACTGCATTTGTAAGTCTATACCAGGGGTACCCAGATTCCAGACAGCTTGCATGTACCAAAAAGCGCACTCTCACAGCGTCCTACTCTCAGGAGACTCCGGGCACTTCAGACTAGATTGCTATTGGGTTGGATCTTTTGAAAAATCACTTTTCGGTTCAACTTCAAGGGGTTTCCCATGAAACCCACCAGGATCTTTTTGTTTCGCCGAGTCGGGCGCCAGCCGGCCAGCCACCGGGCGAAGGCCAGCCTTCGCTTTTTTGCGTCGCAGGACGACCCGTCCAAGGCGCCGCATTTGACGGCCTTCATGAGTTACAAGGCGGGCATGACCCACATCGTGCGGGAGGTGGACCGACCCGGGTCCAAGCTGCACAAGAAGGAGACCGGAGCAGCCGGATCTGTCTTAATTCTTGGGGTTTGGAGCCCCACAAATGGATATGAGATATCGCTCTTGGAGCCCCAAAATGGGATTTTGGAGCTTCCCTTGGTTTCTCTCTTTGAAGCAGCTCACAAAAAGGGGACCAAGCCTCAAAACCAGACGCGCCGCTTTCGGCCTTCAAGTTGGGAGGGGTCCATGACTTCAAACCAGGGGCTTACCAGACTCGCTTTCCAACTCGGCGCAAAACTTTTGGAAGGAACTTTGCCGTTTTTTTTTGCTTTGGCTTTCTTTTCATGATCCCTTCCACCCAGGGACACTGTTTGCTTTGGCTTTCCGTTGTGGTTTTCCTTTTGCCCAGGAAGGGTCGGATGCATTTGACCCAGGGAAGATGTTGGTTGAAGCTATCACCGGTCTGGACTCCTAGCTGAGACGACAAACAACCCAGCAGAAAGTGGGGAAACGAGTTGCTTTGGTGTTGCCAGTTTCTGCAGCAAGGAAAGCCCCTTCAAATTGGCCAAAGACAGGATCCGTGTTTTTCCACCCCCCTGGCCTGCTTATTTGAGTGGTTTGGTGTATGCATCCCAAAAGCAGGCTGGCGGGTTGGGGAAAGCAGGCCGTGGTAGGATTGCCAAAGGACACCATGCAACAAACCATTTGGAGGTGTTAATGTGATCGCGTTCGCAACTCCCTAAAACCCGGATGAACCTTCCTGAGTATGCCCCATACTGTGGACGCCCGAAATCCTGCACCAATCTGAAACCACGGGAAGCCATTGTCCGTTGGCATTTACAGGGGAATCAAAGCATTCCAAGGTTTCTGAACGGTGGTGCGAAATTAATTTTGTCCATCCGCAGCGTGTAGCAGATGCATCTGTCAATCTATCCCTGTTTCTTTCTATCCAGCTACTTTACTACCTACCTACCTTTCCATCCTTTCCTACCTACCTACCTACCTATCCATCCCTCCCTCCATCCATCCATCCATCCATCCATCTATCTACCTATCTGCCTATCTATCTATCTACCTACCTATCTACCTATCTACAAAGCACAACTTCAGCAAGTCTCTTTTCCGGGGATCGAGCGGGGAAAAACGAGACGATCCAATCCGCAGCTTTCGGCGTCAGGAGATCGTTGAGCCGGTGACCGTCCTCGAGAGCCCGCCCCTTGGCGACGTCTTGCTCGAGTTGGCTGGGTTGGTCAAAGCCTCACGTCTATGATTGTCGGTGGGTCGGTGTGTGTGTGTGTGTGTGTGTGCTGGTTGTTTTTTTGTTTGGTTGGTTGGTTTGTTTAGCTTCATCCGTTTTAAAAGCTTGAGTTCCTGGACTTGAGTTGCTTTTTGGCTTGGACCATTTAGTGGCAAATAAACGGTTTGGTTCATCCACGCGGGAATTGAGAAGGTAATCCATCCTGGTTTTGGGTTATTCGGGAACCCGGGTTCCAAGTAAACCCCTGGTTGCTTAAGAAGGGGGTGTCCGGCTTGTTCTTCTAGTGGGGGTTCAGCCCACTTTTCGAGGGGACACTTTCAAGTTGTTGTTTTTGGGTATCCGGGGTCAATATCCAGGGTCCCCTTTCCGGTATTTGTGTTTTTTGGCATCATGGCATCATGGATTGGGCTTGGCCAACCCTCCATCTTGAACAACCCAGCTTGGGTGTTGGTCGGGGGAGACTATCTAGGTCCTCCAGTAGTGCCCTTTTACCCCTTTTTATGGGGAGGGTTCCCCTACTAAAATAGAATACTTTATTCTAACCTCTCCACTGGAGGACCTAGCTATATGACGATCCGCTCAAGAAGTGAGATTCGTCAACCTTTTGCAATCTTGCAAGCTTGTTCAACCAGAAACGCCGTACTGTGGATGGAGGAAATCCATTTCGCACCACCTAAGGAACCTTGGAATGATTTGAGCCCCCTGTAAATACCAATAAACAATGGTTTGCCCATGGCTTCAACGTGGTGCAGGATTTCGTCCATCCACAGTATCAACCTTTTTAACCGCCTTAAACTATGTTCATTAAGGTCGCCTTGGGGACCTTTTAAGCCTTTGATCGAACCTTTATGCCTGTTAACCTTGTTCAGACCTTGAGCGCGATTTTGATTGCACCTTTTTCTCCTTTGGTTCAAAAGGAAGCCACATTCGGAAAGTCACCACTAGGTTGGGTTCCCTTTGACACAAGTCACACTTACAGGGCTGCCTATACGACCTCTTTGGGTTTAACCATCTTGGCTGCTGCTTAAAGGGGAAATTCGGGGACTGCCTGCGAATGGGGGGGGCACCAAGGCACCAAGGTGAAAGGCACAACTGGGGAAGCAAAGGGAATGGCGAGTGAGCCACGTCCACCCGTCCTTGTTTCCGTATTTTTTCGGAGGGGAGGGGGGAAACTCCCCTTTGCAAAACCCAAGCTGCCCCAAAGGCACGAGGTTCTATGGACATCCACCTGGGTCACAATCAAAATCTGGGTCATTGGAGGGTAGCAAGGACAACCCCAGCCATACATGGTTGCGGAATTCCGCCTTTTCATTTCTTTTGATGGCTCTGGGTTCACCATTTGTGTACCAGGTCTTGATTATGTCTCACTTGGGGTGGGGCACGATCCACTTGAGTGGGCACCCCTGGGGAAAAAGGGGGTCCCCAACCTGCCCCACAAAAACGGAGGTTCGGGGGGGGAAAACCAGCCCTTGAAGATCCTTCAATCCCCACCCACGAGGTTCCGTTGTCCCAAGCGAGCATTCCATGGCTTCCATCCACTTGGGGCCCCCAAAAAAACACGAGCTTTCATGGCCCCAACCAAATGGGGGGCTTCATTTTTGTTCCATCCGCTTGGCACGGCACGTCAGGCCCATGGTGGTGGTGGGCTTCGTAGGGTACGTGGAGACCCCGCGGGGCTTGAGGGCCTTGACCTCCGTTTGGGCCGGGCACTTGTCGGAGGAGTGCAAGCGCCGGTTCTACAAGACCTGGAGCCACGGCTTGATTGGGTCGGATCTTTAAAACTTTTAGGTTGAAATCAAGGGGTTTTCCACTAGACCCACAAAAGTGAAGCTTTTTGCAGAGGGTTCAACAGCAACCAAGACGGAAGCAAAAACAAAGACAAACGACTCGCTCACGTTCCGGTGCGGACTTTAGTCCACTTTTTGACTTTTTGCGGTTTGGACCAATGAAAAAGCAAGCTTGGCGACTTTTTTCGGGCCACCCACTCAGGAAGTGAGACGACTGTCAGTCGGTCGGTGTGTGCCGGTTGGTTTTGTTTGTTTGCTTGGTTGGTTCCTGGAAACACTGGTAAACGAACAGCTCAGACGCGTTCTGACGAATGCACTCAGGAAGTGAGAGAAGCGTACGACTGTCAGGCGGTAGTTGGTGTGTGTGCTGGTTGGTTTTTGCCCGCTTGCTTTGTTTAGTTTTATGCATGTTTGGGATAACCCGTCTACCAATGAAAATGTTGTTTGTCCTTTGCGTGCCTGCTTGGTTGGTTGTTTGTTTGTTGGTTTGCTTGCTTGCTTGCTTGCTTGCTTGCTTGCTTGGTTCCGAGATACAATAACAGATGCAAGCAAGCGAGCAAGCAGATACGCTGGCGTTCCGAGGAAGGGCCGCAAGCACAAGGCCTTCACCAAGTACGAGAAGCGTTGGAGCGAGGCCAGCAAGGAGGGCACTCCGATGCAGGCGGAGGTGGAGAGGGCCAAGAAGTACTGTCAGGCGGGCAGGGGGGGAAGGGGGGGGATTTGTGGGTTTGTTTGTTGTCTGTTTTGTTGGGTTCACGTGTTTTTTGTGGGGGCGGGGAGGGGGGCTTGGAACCCTTGGTCGGCTTAATAGATCTTTGTGTTTGAAGGGGTTCCCGTTTTTGGTGTTGGGGTACCCTGTTTGTCCGGGTGGAATTGAACCCTTTGACCTTTTTGGAGGGTACCTGGGGAAGCCAAACGCAAACCACCCATTTTGGAGGTTCCCCTTGTACACACATGTGGGACATGTTGGCCGATTTCCCCAAGTGAAACCCATGCAGGTTTTGAATTTTGCCGCAGGCTGAAACCGAGGTCACGGAACCCGCAGGTGGTTCCATGTGTTTCCTTGTCCTTGGATCCAAGGGTCCAGCTAAAACATGACTTCGACCACCTGGTTTGGAGGATCCCCTTGCAAGGCTTTTGGATGCATCCTTTGTCCGGGCTCCAAAGAAGGCAACCAGGGGGTGGTTTGTCAGTTGGAATTTTGCAGTCTAGACGAACTCCGCGGATTTGTGCCGGGAATTTCAGCGCACCTTGCAGCAACTACCAACACGAAGCTTTCAAACAATTGGGGCGGACATTTTCCCGGTGGGTCAGTGACAACCCTTTCCATGTTTGGTGGGTTCTCCGATTTTTCGATCCAAAGATGTCCCTCTTCTGCCAAAGTCACCGGGCGGAGGGGAGCAAGCAGAGCTTGGTTCCTTGGTTTCCCTGGGCCCTCGAGAAAAGCGAGGCATGTGAGGTTCGGTCGATACTGGCGGGTTATGGGGGACTCGCAATATGTCCCAGGGTCCAGGGGTGTGTGGGCGGAGGGAGGGAAGGAAGAAAGAAAGGGACAGGGTGAGGGACAGGAAGAGGGAGAAAGAAAGAGAGCTGTACTTTTCCTAGGTCCCCCAGCTAAGTGCCCTTCTCTCCCCTTTTTGGGGGAGATTCGGCTCCCCTACTAACATAGACTACAGAAATAAGTTGGTACCCTTTTTCCAAGCTCTCAAATCTGGCGGACCTAGGAGCTCATTTCCTGGAGAGTTTCCTGTTTTAGTTTCTTCTTGGATCATGGCGAGCGCACAGGGGGTACTGCCTCTCTACTCGAGGACCTAGTGTTTACTTCTCCTTTTGATGCGTGCCACGAAGGGCTCAGGTGATGCTTTTCCCAAGAACACCCAGCAGTTTTTCCACTGGAGGACCTACCTCCCCCAATTCCTTTTTTTTGTGAGACGTGGCGATTCTTCTTTGCCAGGTGATCCGCGCCATTTGCCACACCCAGGCGGGGGAATGATTGCAGCCCGAGGTGGACATGAGGGCACCATGTGCTGAACTGAATATCTTCCATTTGCTTAATACTATTTGTTATTTTCACTCACCTGTTGGTTTCAAAGGGAATCTATCTTTTGACTTGGGCTGGCGGGTTCTCACACGCCGGGTAGCGCGAGCTTGCCGTGCTTCAGGTCCGGTGCAAGACTTGATGCCTTTCTTTTCCATTTGTAACACACTTGTTGCAACAAGTTGGGTAAATGTTGGTGACAGTCGTTGGGGCAACTCAATGAGCCAACTTTGAACAGATCAGTGTTATGTTCTGCCTATTGCTTCGCCCTTCTTCTCGCTTCCCGAGTTCCTGGACTTCAGACTTTTTGAGAAGACCGTTTTAGTGGCAAACAAACAAGTATGAACTCTTTTTGGCCAGTCACTCAGGAAGTGATCGAGTTTTAATTGTCTGCCAAGTTGTGCTATCTATCAGTCAGGCTGAGCCTTCATAGCTCCCCAGGTCCAGGTGAAACAAGTGAACCTCATAGTTCATCGGGTTCCCTGCTTGCCACAGCCCAGTTATTGCCATGACGTGCTTTCGGGCATGCTCCACCGGTTTTCTTTTGGCAAACGCAAGGAACATGGAGTTCCGCCTCGGCAATTCTGGGCAAGTTTCGCCTCTTTTCTAGCAGGTCTGATTCATTCTAGTGTCTTGCCAAGTTTGATCTCTTTTCGGGGCTGAGCTCAAACACTTGGTGGCTAGCCTATTTGTTTTCTTTTGTTTGATGGAGGGTGTGTCACACTTCCCGGGTCCTCGCTTGGGTCAGATTTCCTGGGCTCGAGGTGCGCAAAGTGAAGATTGGCCAGAAGAAGGCCCACATCAAGGACTTCTCGCGCAAATCCAGAATATTTTGTTTACCCGGTTGAAACCTGGCTTTTTCCACCCAAATAAAGGGACACCACCATTTACAAATTTACAAGGCAATGTTCAGGTGTATAATGTAAGGATCCCTGTTTTGGCAACAGCATTTCTTCCAAAAAGGGTGTATTGTGTTTGTTCCCGCGTCGTTATCATAGCAGTGACTCTTTCGAGGTTCACTTTCATAGCACCCCCCCCCCCCCGAAAATAAAGAAGAAACAACACATAAAAACAAACAGCCCCCAAACATGTGCAGGTTTCCTACCTTTAAGTCTTGGCAATGTTTTTGTTTGAAATTGGCAATGCTAGCGTAAGCACTGGGAATCTGAGAGTAAGTCTTGGCACTACTAAATTAGTATTGCCATCCAAATTCTTCATTTAAGGAGCCTTTCGGAGCTCCCTGGAGTTCTGGTTGCGGACATGGTAGATCAATCATTGTCTTGTTGTTTGGGCGTCCCTTGGGTCAGGGGGTAGCACCATCCCTTGCCATGGATTCGGTGGATTTACGAGCATCCCTGTTTTATTGGTGGTCATGTGGTTCGTGCTTCCTTGCAGGTACCCTTTTCAGGTTGATTTGAAGGGACACCAAACGGACACCTACAATCTTGACTGTCTGCCTGGCAAATTGGGTAGCGGCCCGTGGACATTCCCATGGTGATAAAGCAGTCATTGGAATCAACGGCAGAAGAGAAAGAGTGATTTGCCACCACCATGCTACAAGGGCCTAAATGGTAGGATGGGATTGTGGGGACTGCAAAAAGCTGAATGTCATGCTCGTTACGGAATGATGCGTGAACATAAGTACCTGGAGTCTCCATGACCCTTAACAAATGGGGAAATTTAACAAATGGGAAATGACCCCTGTTTTTTTCCTCTTTTTTTAAACGGGAAACCAGAGGAACACCGAAGCCATACCGAAGCCATTTTGGGGGTCCAAAGATGTCCAAATCCAAAAGAAAGACAACTATGAATATGAAAGGGAAATCAAAAGGAACACTGAAGCCATGGTGGGGGTCAGAATCCCAACAAACAACAGCAAGTTCCGATGTGCCAAAGGGGTCCGCGGGGGCGCTGTGAGATTTTGTCTCAACTAGGTCCCCCAGCTAGGTGCCCCTTCTCTCCCCTTTTTTTGGTTGGGAGGGTTCCCCTACTAAAATAGACTACAGCAACAAGTTGGTACCCTTATTCTAACCTCTCTGCTGGAGGACCTAGAAACAGATGACCAAGTTGGTAGACTATCAGGTTCCCTCGGTTTCCCTTGCCGTCCAATCAACCAACAGCCCGGCTCAATTCATGGGGGAGGCCGTTAAAGAGCAAAGGATCCCAAAAAACAAACCCAGACCCCAAGTCAAAGTGCCGCAGGAGATCCAGGTGAACGGAGGCGCCACCGAGGCGAAGGTGGATTTCGTGATGAACCTGTTCGAGCAGGACGCGCAATCGACCAAAACCGCGGGACCCGCGTCCGAGAGCGAAAGCTTCGGCCTGGCAGCGTGGTTTTGCTTCGCACGTCAACATGGAACCCCTCAAAACATGGGGAGATTCCTGTGCAAGCCCCAAAAAATGAGGTTCCCCAAAAGGAGATTCTCAAATGAAGGCCTTTGGGGTTCCATGTGAAGCTGGAGTTTAAATACGATTTGCTGGATCCCCCCTGTGACAGGAACACCCTTGGATTGGCCTCATGCTCGCCATTCGAGTTGCTCCGAGCCTACCTGGGCCAGAGGTTTCTCTAAGTTTCCTAGGTCCTCCAAGAAGCTAGCAGAAAGCCCTGGTGCTTGTGTGTATTTGGCTCATTCAAGAATCTCCTCGGGTTTCTTGGACCGGTTTTCCCATGGAATTTGCAGAACAATGACCGCCACCACGACCCTGGGCTCAACAAAACCATGGCAAGGACCCAATTTAGATGATGACAGTCCTGAACGATAAATAATGGTGGTGATATGAACCCATTGTTTCAGTGGATTGAATTTCAGGGAGGGTAAAAGACATGGCCAAATTGGTATTATGTGGTTTTCCCATTCCAGGGCCTAGGGCGAGGCAAAACCCACGTGACAATCGTGGACAGGAGGTGAAGATTGCCGATTGCTTCAGCCAGGACGAGGTGATGCTCGGTTTATTTGGCAAATCTGCTTGAACATGACATGGGTTTCTCCGTTGTTCAGTGGCACCCTTTTTGTTTCTCTCTTTTTTTTAGTGGCTGCCCCTCTAAAATTGGTCTTCCCCAAAAAGGGCTTTCCCTTTTTTCCAGGGTCACTGAACAAATGAGATCTTGGTTTCTTGGTTTGCTTGTGGTTTTTGTTGGACCTTTGGGTGTATAAGCTTGGCCCTTATGCTCTCCAGGTTCCATTCGGGTGTTGTTATGCTGAGAAACATCTTGGGCCCGGATTTGGAACTGGATCTGGCTGATTCAGGGCCCATCTGTCGAATCACACCCCCGAAACGAGCGAAACCCCCTCCATTCAGACGGTCCAAAAGGGTTACCCTCGTGTCCACTAGGTCTTCCAATCCCCCCCCCCGCCCCGGCAGGTTCCATTAATGGACAGGAGGGTATTCATTTTTTTCCAGGCCATTCTTTGTTGCCGAAACCTCGTTTCATTTGAGCAGTTTCTTTGCAAGGGTTCAACTGCTCAACCTCAGATTCGGTTTCCTTCTTTGGCCGCTTTTTCTTCTTTGTTTTCCTTTTTTGTCTTTTCTTTGTTTGTTTTATCAATGTGTTTTTTTGACGGTTTCCCGATAGGTGAACCTGTAGCGTTGATTCACTAATGATGTGTTTTAGTGTCCCTTTCAGGAAAACCTTTCCATCTTTGGTCGAGTCACAGGCAGAGCCTCGAGAAATTGGAGAATTGCAAACAACAAGGCCTTGTCTTTGGTGCATTTTGCTTGGATGTTAGGACTTTAACTTTTTGCCAACTAATGGGTTTTCCATTAAACCATTAAAAGTTAAACTTTTAGCAGGGGAGCAGAAAGCAACCGAGCTGTGTATGCGGGTTTTGCGGTATGCCCACTCGGAAAATGATACTTTGATGTTAACTCCACAAAAAGAAAGCTTAATACGGTGGGTGGACAACATCCTGCACCACTTGAAACGCTGGGGAAGCCGTTTTTGTTGGTTTTCACAGGCGAATCATCATGCCAGGGTTTATGTCACATCTGGGGCTATTTGGCGTCAAGTCCGGCCAGCTTCCAAAGCTCGCTTGGTCTTTGGAAGGGTTCCTTTGGGGGGACCCGTGCCCTGGCGTTTGCTCTTTCTTTCTTTTTTTGGCCGCTTTCCCCAAGCAAAAGCGTGGCCCATCCGAGGATCGACCTGGTGGGCACCACCAAGGGCAAGGGCTTCAACGGCGTGGTCACCCGCTGGGGCGTCACGCGCCTGGTGCGCAAGTCCCACCGCGGCCTGCGAAAGGCCCCAGAGGGGCCCGGCGTACCCGGGGCACGGGGCAGCCTCAGAAGGCCTCTGGTGGTGATCTACTGTTTGTGTTTGTTTATCTATCCTCGAAAATCTACTATCTATGTTTATCTATCTACTTATGCTTATCTATCCAATGTATGCAGATTGGTTTTGTTTGTCTATCTGCCTTGTGCTTATCCATCTTATCTACTGGGCCTCATCTATCCTATGCTTCTCAGAAGGCTTTCGGTCATTGAAATTTGTGGTGATGAACCCCGCCCCACGCCTGTTGACGTCGTGAGCGGGTGGTTGTAGGGGAGCCGGACTCGGAGCCGGGAGTATCCAAAGTTGCCTTGAAAGAATCGGCTCTCTTGCGGAGCTGCCGGGAGTCCAAGGACATGGTTGTTATACCATGGGCAAAATCCGCCAAACGCACCATGGACGAAACCCGATTTGAAAAACCGCCAATCCCAACATATCCCAACTGGGCTTCATCCATCCGCACTATTGCCTAGATCAACCTAAACCATGGGACCAGAAGTCAGCTCGGGTTTCAGGCACTGTTGAGCTGATTTTGGGACGCGTCCTGAGCCGGGAGAGGGATCCGCAAAAATGACACGGTCTCATAGAGAATTCTCTAAAATGGGCTGCTTACGGTCCAAAGGTGGCTGGGAGGCCTCTAAAATGGGTTGAGGCAATGGCTCTCATTGGTAGTGGTGCCCTGTGGGGGTTCCAGATTCGGGTTAGGGAATGCTCCGCATTGCTAGCAACCCAGAGAGGGGCGTGTCCATCCCCATGCCGTGAGTAGTGTATGGAAGTTTCTCGGGGCGGTGTATCAAAGCCAAAATGCAAGGACACAAAGCCTTCAGATAAAGTGCTTCACAGTTACAAGTGACAGAACACACATGATTGTCTCTGACTGACAGAAGGGAGAATTCCACGTGTGCCTACGACTTATGGGGAGTATTCTCCATGGTTGAAAAATAAACTTGACCACCTGATAATCATGGCTTTCTGGCAGCCACTTTCCTTCCAGATTGGCATGAAACCAACCAAAGACCGCGTTTCCTCTGAGTTTGTACCGCGATTGCCTCTTTCCGTCTTGGCCCAAATCAAACACGCCGATTGGGCATCGAACATGTAAGGCTTTAAGGGAGCTGTGGAGGGACTGTTTCCAGAAGCGTTCCGTTTCGGGAACCGGAGTTTGCTTCCATAGTTGGAAAGAGGGTACCCCGCAGACTAACATAGAGCCCAAAAGACGGCCCATGTTTGAGTTTGCAGAGGCGTAGTATATATTTCAATATTGGCCCAGAAAGAAACACCGCCCCCCCATGTCCTTTTTGGTGACGGTGGAAAACAGATTAATGCTATTGATTTCAGTGTTCAGTGGAATCTATTTCTCCAAAGGGACCCCTAAAAACATTCCCCTACCCACCAGAAAGGTTCTCAGAACCCTTTGATCAGATAACACGCTTACCATGGTAAGTCCAGGGTAGTTCGATGTCACTATCTGGCCCGGACCGTCCAAATGCGTCAAAGCACGCAAAACAAGATCCAAAGAACTTATGTGGCCATGAATTTTAACAGGTAAACACCTGAAGAGTGATTGGTGGACATGAATCCCCACCTACATTATGTCCACCAAAGGGCCCCTCATTAAAATTCATACCCATATTGATGATTTTTACAGAAGCTTCACTGAATATGAACCATCAGACAACCCATCTAAGGGGAATAACCCTGAAAGGCCTTGGGAAGCCCCCTCCCCAGGGATTGCAAACAGAAGGGCTGACCTCAGAATTGTGAGATTTGTTTGTCTGGTTCTAGGTGTCCTTGGCTACAGTAGGAATCCGCGGAATGTCGCTGACACCAAACTGGAGCCAGCAACAGCCAGAAGATGCCCCCAATTTCCCCAACCTGTGTTTACCTCCCAGCTAGACCCTACCCTTTTCACAGCCAGAACCTGACGTTCGGGACCAAGCCGGTCCCTAAGGAAAATGGTCCAAGCCACCCTCCGAAACCCTCCGAAACGCATGTGAAAAGTTGGGACGGCGGCTTTACCCGCGATCTCGTTGCCTGCAACATGGGGTTTCCAGCTGACCGATTCCTCGGGTTCCGTGGCAATTGGGTTAGTTGGATAGTGGGAATAAACAAAGCCCGTGTTGAAGCCTCGAGAAGTGGCGAACCTCGTTTCCACGGAAACCGAGAAATTGTAGCAAGTTTGAAGGGGCAAATCCAGTGACCGCATGTCTGAAAGGCCCCTTATGGGGGGCAACAACTGCCGGATTCCTCAGGTTCCATGGCGATGGATTGTTTGTTCATCCTAAGTTGTTCAGGTAATAATTGGTTAATTCTAGGGGTACTTTCCCCATTCTTTCCAGGGATCCTTCTTTCTAGAAAACCTCCGGAAACCCAGAAAAAAACGGATCCAGTTTTTGGAAAGAACGATGGTTGAAAAGAATGGAGCAGGAAGGAATCAACTTGTAGATGAATGGGAAACACCTGTGGAAGCTGAGTTGCTGTTCGGGGACCCAGGCATACCCAGGCGCTCGGTGTCCTGGAAGGTTTCCCCTTAGCATCCAAAAACTCATCCGAGGCCCCCCGCCCCCCATTTTGCCCTTGGTTTGTTTATCCATTTACTAGGTCCTGACAAAGGGCACTACTGGGGGACCTAGTTTAGATCGTTGTCAATAGAGGTTGTTTCGTTTTGGATGCTTAGGACTAGTTCTGTTTTGTCCTTTTTGGGTGCTCAGGGGGCTTTCCCTTTTTGGATGCACTACTGGGGGACCTAGTTTAGATCGTTGTCAATAGAGGTTGTTTCGTTTTGGATGCCTAGGACTAGTTCTGTTTTGTCCTTTTTGGGTGCTCAGGGGGCTTTCCCTTTTTGGATGCACTACTGGGGGACCTAGTTTAGATCGTTGTCAATAGAGGTTGTTTCGTTTTGATGCATTAGGACTAGTTCGTTTTTGTCCTTTTTGGGTGCTCAGTGGGCTTTCCCTTTTTGATGCACCTACTGGGGGACCTAGTTTAGATCGTTGTCAATAGAGGTTGTTTCGTTTTGGATGCTTAGGACTAGTTCTGTTTTGTCCTTTTTGGGTGCTCAGGGGGCTGTCCCTTTTTGGATGCACTACTGGGGGACCTAGTTTAGATCGTTGTCAATAGAGGTTGTTTCGTTTTGGATGCTTAGGACTAGTTCTGTTTTGTCCTTTTTGGGTGCTCAGGGGGCTTTCCCTTTTTGGATGCACTACTGGGGGAACTAGTTTAGGTCGTTTTCAATAG